TCAGTGAGGAGTAAATAATACTTCCTTATTTACTTTCTCCACACCGGTCATGATTTTATAGACCTCCATCATATCCCCCTTTTGTCATCTGTTTTCCAAGATGAAAAGCCCCAGTCTTATTAATCTCTCTTCATATGGAAGCTGTGCCATACCCCTAATCATTTTTGTTGTCCTTTTCTGAACCTTTCCCAATTCCAATATATCTTTTTTGAGATGAGGCGCAGTATTCAAGATGCGGGGGTATCATAGATTTATATAGAGGCAATATGATATTTTCTGTCTTATTATCTATTCCTTTCTTAATCATTCTTAGCATTCTGTTCACTTTTTTGACTGCCGCTGCACATTGAGTGGATGTTTTCAGAGAACTATGCACAATGACTCCAAGATCTCTTTTTTGAGTGGTATCAGCTAATTTAGACCCCATCATTTTATATGAATAATGGGAAGATTCTAGTTATCCTAGAGTAAACATGGCAAGAGTCTGTGTAAAATTTCACACTGAAAAAAAGCCTTTCTCAAATTTGCAAAAGGAATTTAAATTCAATGTTTACCCAAACTGCACATTAAAAAAAACAAGCAAACATTGCAAGCATTCTAAACATGCATAAAACAAAAAAGGAAAACCCAAGAGCAAGTTAAATAATGATAACTTACAGCTTATCTTCCATCGTCATGCATATCAGTTCAGTATATGGCAAATATGGAACAGCTATATTCATTCTAACTAAATTTTTAAACTTTCCCTTCATCCCCTCCTTCCCTCTGCAGTGGAGTCCTCCAGTGAAGTTGTTGAGGAAGTACTGGTGTATCACTAAGCAGTATTTTGTCAAAGGGTTTCTAGATAATAGAATCCAGGCCCACAATCAGCAATCTGAGAAGGAAGAAGCGGACACCAAGAGGAGTTCTTGACTGTGTTTCAGAAGGAGACACCATGAAGTGGGAAAATAAGCCTCTTAGACAGAAACATCAGGAACAGGGAACATCCTGCCCACAACCACTAGCTTGAATGCATGAGCAAGTGACATATAATCAAGTGACTTGTTTCCTGGACCTATGTTCCTTGCCCTCCTCCTGCCTCTGTGAGACAACTTGCCCTACTCCCCCTCCCGCCCCACCATCCAAGCCCTGCTGTATATTACAGTGATTTATCTAACTGATATTAATTTTTCCAAGTTTTCAAAGATGTATTAGACATCTCACAAAATACCCAAGTCAAAACAGTCACTCTACTGAAATGCTCAGCATTTTTATGGCACTCCTCACAGTAGAATGAGATTTCCCAAATAGTTTTAAGTGTCCAGATGGCGCTACACCTGAAACTTCATTGTTTAAGGTGCTCTCAACAACAGTGTTTTCAATCACAACAAATTTGGGTTGTTGAAAGACAGTATCGCTTATTTTCCCAAGACCACTCCTTTTGGGATAGTTCTTCACTTTTACAAATGTTGCTCAGAACCCAACACCCTACAGCAACATCACAAATGCATTTAAAACCATTGTAGTGTGTGGGCACCACAGAAATAATAATGAAATAAGCCTTGTGTATCCTGTGACATATTGTAAGTATTATCCCCATTTTACATAGAGGGAAACCTAAGGTCACAAACAATGTCTGTAGCAGAGTTGCAAGCAATACCCTGATATCTTAATTCCCCAGCCTCTGTCTTTACCACTAGACCATCCTAAACTCCACTGCTGTTTAGCCACACTGAATCTTATCAAAGACACCAAAACTGAGATAATTTTGTTTCTAAGAAATAAACCTAACATGCGTACAAAATGTAGCATAGACCAGGGTCGGCAACGTTTGGCACGCGGCTCGCCAGGGTAAGCACCCTGGCAGGCCGGGCAAGCACCCTGGCGGGCCGGGCCAGTTTATTTACCTGCTGACGCGGGAGGTTCGGCTGATTGCGGCCCCCACTGGCCGCGGTTCACCGTCCCGGGCCAATGGGGGCGGCGGGAAGCCACGGCCAGCACATCCCTTGCCCGCGCCGCTTCCCGCAGCCCCCAATGGCCCGGGACGGCAAACCGCGGCCAGTGGGGGCTGTGATCGGCCGAACCTGCCGCGTCAGCAGGTAAATAAACTGGCCCGGCCCGCCAGGGTGCTTACCCTGGCGAGCCGCGTGCCAAACGTTGCCGACCCCTGCTCTATTCATTCATACACCAATATCCATAATCACTGGATTCTACTGAATAATCAATGGTCAAATTAAAACGCTTTGATCCCAATAACAATTTAAACTTTCAATGAATGAAAGCTGAATGCTAAAAGAAGAAGATGACTTGCTACAATGATTGTACTAAAATCCAATGTTCCTTGTTAGTGAATCTCGGTATCACCAATACAGTACCATCTCTAGGACGACTGCATTCCTCCACCATCACTACCTATTCAAGTTGGCCACCGCAAATGATGTTTGATGGCTCCATCAAATAGGTTCACGGAACTAAATTTGGCAATCACTGACATCCATACAACTTCATTGGGGCTGATCTTGTCCTCCTTACTCAGCCAAAACTTCTGTTGATTTAAATGGGAGGTGCATAATTTTAGTCCCCGAAGCCAACTGGTAACCCTTAAAAAAATAAAAATAAAAAAAAGCTCTCCCAGACTGTATGACAGCAAGTCTGCAGCCATAAGCCTTCTTGCTTATAAATGAAACAGCTGTTTTCTCTTTCTTTGTTCAAGCTATGCTTAAGGCTTGTCTACATGCAAAAGTGATACCACTTTAATTACATCAATAAAGTTAAAGCATTAAAAAAAACCCAACAAAACACAAACCCCGGAGTGCAAATGCAGTTATATCAACATAGATGTTCTTTATACTGGTAGAGCTATTTCTGCAGGGGAAGGAGAACAAGCTATGTTGGTATATGGCACCTTTATACCAGTATAACTGCATCCACAGTTGGGTGGTACCTATATAACTCTTTTGGTAGAAGCTCACATCTTAACCAAAATATTTACTATATACTGGGTTGTAGTATAAAACCAAAAACTGTATATAGAACTGGGCTTAGATATGTTCCATGTTAAAAGGAATTGACTAATTTAAAAAGATTAATGTGTGACTCTTAATATTTTAGAGCTGTTGAAAGGTTCCAGATTTGACAGCCAGGGAGACTCAAGTTTCCCATCTATCCACGAAACAAGTATCACACAGGCAGCAGCTTCCTCACCCCTCAAGGGACCACCTCAGTGGATGAAAATGTAGTTGTGTTTCCTTGACACAGTCAATGCTTGGCATTTCTGTCAACAAGAATGCCATTTCTAGTAGTAAATTTTTCTGTAACTCAAATTGGACTGAGATGACCAAATTCTTTTCACTGTCCACCAAACTGCTGGCAGAAGATAACAGCTTTGGTTAACTGAGCCCTGGGTTGTATTAGAACTTGAGGCCTAGAAAAACTGAAACGCTCTGAATCCCCATACCAGCCCTCTGAGCCCATTGACTCGGGGTCAACACTTGACATTTTAAACATTTTAAAAGCCTCATTTAATTTTGTTTTAAAATACAATGAAAATTTCAATATTTTATAGAGTATAATTATACTTTGCTAAAACCACTGTACAGTATAAATAAAACTTGTATTGAAATATAATAATTTAATGTTGGACAATAAAATTGTCTGAAATTTTACTTTCTGACAATATCTAAATTTTGTTGACATTATTACCCATTAATTGTATTACAATGGTGCCTAAAGTGCCAGTCATGCATCCGGGCTGCATTGTGCTAAGCACAGTAGAAAAACAAATATTTATGTATTCTATGAGTCTTATTTTACAGAGTTCAGCAGATCTATATAGAGTCCATGAAAAATAAACTTGATAATAAACTTAAGTATCTCTCACTTTTCTGGGGCTAAGTCGTCATGAGTTTCTGCTTCCACATCTTTAAACCATGCCCCTTTGTGTGATAGTACATGAATTTTTTCATTACATGAACACAACAGTTGGCAATAAAATTTTATTTGGCAATATTTATGGATTATTAAATCTTATCTAACATACATATTTCTAAGGACCCTACCACCTTGGTCTAAGCACACAAAAAATCATTATATGTAGACAGTGGCACAGAAACATTTTAAATACTAATCAGATTGTAAAGTAATGTGATATAGTTTCCCAGAACACTGAGCAATGGGACTTAACAGGCCACAAGTTCCTAAATGTGGCTTCCAATTGTTTGCATGTGGAATTCTCTGTATTATTGTTTCCTCATACAAATAATAATTTAAACGGAACAAGAGGATTTATATGGGTAAACACATTCATATGCAGGTGGTAAGTGCAAATTTGATCTGCTCACACAAATTATAGTGCATGCAAAACTGCAAGCAAATAATTCTTTGCACTGTTTTTTGTGCACATGGTCGGAGGTCAGATTAAGGGTCTTTTGAAAATTTGGTAAAGATATTACCTTGATCATTTGCTAAATCTCAGATGAAAAAAGTGTGAAATGACTAAAAGTGTAATTTACAAATGTATCTATTTCAAAATGTAATTAAATTTATTCGTATTTAGTGAAAAAAATCTCATCCATGAGCTAAAAGCTTCCATACTAAGATTCAGTTCAAAAGTAATTTAAATGTGGATTTAAACCGGCTCCAATTGCAGTAATAAGGGATGATTATCAAAGTGCTACCACAACTTAAACCACTGCAGTATTAGTGGGTGCTACTATGACACATCTCCTTTCCATAAATCCATTTGAATGTTAGGGCTAAACATTAGCAGAAAGGTAAAAGCATAGTTTTTGGATACACTTACTACGTGTTTGTACAACACCTAACACGAAGGGGCACCAAACCTGTTTGGGGCTTCTAGGTGCTACTAATACAAGTCAAAATAAATAAATAAATAGTTCAGAGAGTCAAGAGAAAAAGAGAAACTCTAAATATATTTCTATTTAAAACTTTTATTTTTTTTTAAAGTTTATTAAGGAACATTTACTAGTTATTAAATCACTCTCCACCCTCTTGCCCTGCAGCACAGCACTACATATCCATTCATCCTCTTCAAGGCGTGGGTGGCCTCATAGCTTCTGCGGCTGATTTCAGACTCCTCTTGCCGTATGTATTTACCTTCCTGCTGCCATTTCACATTTATCGGTTTCAGTGCCATTCCTTCATATGGCCATGGGTTTTTATTTTGTTTTGTTTCTTTCTTTTAGCTTTATTTTCCCCATTCAGGGGAAGGAGGGAATTCCAACACCAGTCAAATGACATTTTATATTGCTCTGTCTCTTTAACACTCTAGAATAGTGGCCACTTTCTTAAAGGGACAGTGGTGTGTTCCTGTTCCTTGTTTGTTGTACTCTTTCCCCAGATCCCGCAACTAGGAGCCAAATAAAAGCCTTAACTAATATGTCAAGTATCAGAGGGGTAGCCGTGTTAGTCTGAATCTGTAAAAAGCAACAGAGGGTCCTGTGGCACCTTTAAGTCTTAAAGGTGCCACAGGACTCTCTGTTGCTTTTAACTAATATGGAATTTCACCCTGAATGGTCACAAATTAAGCAGAGTGGGCTCTTTATTAGCCTAAACAAATTAGTCTCATTTTCTATTTTTGGTTTATACCATAAGAAATGAGAATTTTAAATGCAAAACTTTGTACACTGTGCAAATCATGTCAGTATGTCAAAGTAAAATAACAAACCTAATGAGGAATGTTAAAAAAGCAGGACCCATTAGTTTAAAGATACATGGAAACAGCCAAAGATGACAAACATGCATAAAATTCAAAACATGATGGAAAAGGGAACAGGCACTGAACCACATAAATCAGTGTTTTGAATTCTATTTCTCTGTGGGTATAATTGTACCTTAGTTTCTTATAATGATTTATTGAGGTAAATATTCTGTATGGTTTAACAGCTACAGCTTCAAAGTGTCAGGCACAGACTCTCCTTTATTCATGAGGCAGCTGAGTATTGGGATGTGAATTAGCTTCTGTATTCTGGGACTTGGCAAAGTTTGTTTTTAAGGTCCTTATAAAGGATTCATGTTGATGCAGTTATTCAAAAGTGAAAAACACTGTGCTGTAATGGATGAAATAGAAAACTTTTACAGTAATTCTGCAGGAAAAAAGTAAATAAACTGAAATAAACCATGCAGAATTACCTTCAGGAAAAGAAAGGAATGCCCTTGAGTTAATATTAGTCCACTAATTCATACATAGGATCACACAGCAACCTAATTTCTTGATGAAGTACTGAAGTGTGAGTGGAATCCAGAATTTATTTTAAATAAAAAGTATTAAAATATGAGAAACAAACAGAATGAAGTTTTAAACTGTGACATAGGCAGTTTGGGTTGATTGCCAAACCACACTTTCTATTGCTCTCAGACCAGGATAAACCAACCATTAACTAATAAAAAGAGTCATAGTCCATGAAAGCTATGATTGCATTTTAAGAGTTTTTAATCTATTATTAAGAAAGAACAATTTGCAAAATATATTCCCTCTTCTGTTGATATTCATAGGGCCATGGTTAGCAGAAATTATATATGGGCTCCCATAGTGTAAAAACCTTATGGAAGCCATGAAAATTCACTGCGCTTCCGTGAGTACTGTGCCAAAATATTTAGCAGGAACTTTGGTCGTTGCCAAGAAACATGTGAGCCTCAGATACAGAAGCTTTGCCTGTACTGGTATTTCAACAATACCGGAGAGAAATCTAACCCCTTGATGCATACATTGGTTCTCACCCCATCTGTCAGAGTAGCATTATGCTTTCTCACAGGGTGGGATGCCAGTTTTGAACAGTTTTTGAACAACCAAATATAGGTTTAGACTAATACCCAGAAATTCAGCAAATGACATTTCTTCTGCAAGAAGATCATCTTAGTCGTGAGCCACGCTAAGTTAAGTTTGCATGCTTCGTTATGAAGGGATGTCATCTACTGACAATTGTAGGCATCATCAACAAATGCTTGTCTTCTGTATAATATCTGTTAGCTTAGGAGTGACCTGCAGTGAAGCTCAAATCACAAAATGCCAAATTTTCATAACATTACATCCTTCCATCAGCTTATCTTTTCAGTCATATTCAAGTATCTTTTCAGGAAGCTGCAAGGGACCATGAGTGGATTCATCGTCCCAGATTGGCCTATGAAAAGTTCCAGTGTTCTTAAAAAAGGCAACCAAAGTAACAGAAGAGAAGCAAGAGCAAAGACTTCTGTAATCTCTCATGGTCTTGGCTAGCAAGACAAAGGAGGTGTTTTTATTTTACTGTCAAAATACACTGAGCCACCAGATTGTTCTCCTTTAGATATTTTTGAAGTGTTCAAACATTTAAATTGAACAATTTTATATATTATATGCAAAAGTTACATTAAACAAACATTCAGTTGGAGAATTTCAATACAGTAGAACCTCAGAGTTACGAACACCTCGAAATGGAGGTTGTTCGTAACTCAGAAATGTTAATAACTCTGGACAAAGCATTATGGTTGGTTCTTTCAAAAGTTTACAACTGAACGTTGACTTAATACAGCTTTGAAGCTTTACTATGCAGAACAAAAATGCTGCTTTTAACCATCTTAATTTAAATGAAACAAGCACAGTTTCCTTATCTTGTCAAATCTTTTTTTTTTTAAAACTTTCCCTTTATTTTTTAGTAGTTTACTTTTAACACAGTACTGTACTGTATTTGCTTTTGTCTCTGCTACACTGGGTTGCCAACCCTCCGGAATCGGCCTCAATCTCCCAGTGACTATTAAAAGCAATCCAGGAGATTTTAATAGGCCAAAAGTCCAGTCGGTGGCACAGCAGGGCTGAGGCAGGTTCCCTGCCTGCCCTGGCTCCGTGTGGCTCCCGGAAGCGGCTGGCATGTCCAGCTCCTAGGCACAGGGACGGCCAGGGGGTCTCCGCATGCTGCCCTCATGCCCCGCCCCCAGCGCTGGCTCCACAGCTTCCATTGGCCCCGCCAATCGGATCTGCGGGGGTGGTGCCTGCAGGCAGGGGCAGCGCAATTTTGTTTTAAATAGAAAATGTAGTGAGAAAAATAAGATAAAAAATATAAATAAAAAGGTAAGAGGAGAAGTGCAGTCCCGGAGAAAACGAGATTAAAATGCAAGTGCAAAAAACAACAAAAATGTTTATGGACTCTTTTATCTTTGAGGCCTCCCATTCAAATATTGACCAGGCCCAACCCTGCTTAGTTTATAAGATTTGACAAGACCAGAGTCCATGGTATTTTGGCCACAGGCTAATAATCTTTCTTGTTATAGATATACAAAAACAGGAGTAGGAATCACGCCAAGATCTTAGAAGCTATTGCCATCACAGAAACCCAACAAACCTGAACAACTATGTTCATATGGTTCACTGCCAAATACTATCCAAGACCAAAACTGTTTAGCTTTTAAAACTAGACAAAATCAGACACGCTTACTCCAGAAAAGCCATCTGCTTCAAAGAAATAATTCACTTTCTCTTTAATTGAAATTTACTAGGACTCCTGTAATTTATTCATCCCAGAATGCAGTTGATGTATCAGCAATTAGATGAATTTACTACCCAAGTAGAAGATTCAAATTATGCAATGCCCTCTGAATTGGTTCTCATCTTAATATTTAGAAAGCTTACCTGCCGCTCTTCCCACATTATAAACTCAAACACATCCATTTGTATTTACTAGACTAATAGTAAAATCAAATGCATGTAAGTACCAGCTTTGATATTGCCACACCTGGATACATTTAGAAGCATATATTAAGGTGTATCCTGCTTAAATGAATGCAAACAATACACTGCACATGTTCACTATGCTATTTATGGACCATAAAAATCCTTAAAATTATTATTGCCAAACCTACATTTTTTTCAAAGTAAAAATATCAATTTTCAGTAAAGATTCCTAATAAATGAATATTCATATTAAAAAAGTTGCACTTAAGTTATGCCTTCTCACTTAGGATCTTAAAAAGTGCTTTACAAGAAAAACATGATTTTAACTAGAAAAGAGGCACCAGGTAGAGCAAACATCTAGCCATCTAGAATATTTTAATCAAGAAAACACTCTCATGGGCTAGCAGAAAAATCAGTATATTTCATTTACCCCTAGGCACGTGGTTCCTGTAAATCACCACCACTATCCTAACCGTTAAATATATTCTAGAGGGGATATCAGAACACTGTTACATTGTCAGACCTGCCATAAACAAGTCAGCCTTGGAATTCCTCCTCTCATCATCAGCATATAAGAAAGAAAAAGAACTAGGGGCCATTCCTAAAAATTAGGAAGCAAGTCATAAAGCACGTGAACTCAGGACAAATTATTTCATACAATAAACATATGGAATAAGATGGTAGGAAATCCAATTAAATAAAGGGCATTAAGGAGTTCAGGAGACACCTACATTTGTTTATGGAGAAGAAGGGAATCAATGGCTATGGTTAAGAAAAGCTGAGGAGTAAACATTAAAATAAACAACAAGAAGGGATAGGCATGCTGGGCTGGATGGCCATTTCCTCTTCCTAACACTTTTTTATGTTCTTAAACAATGCTGCTCTTCTATGTCCATCACCATGTCAAACTGTATTAAAAACATCTTGACTCAGCAAATTGAAAATACCATGACAGATACTGTGCCTAGGAACACCTATTCTCAAAGCTAATATGAATGGCTAAGCATTGTGCCTGCATCTGCTTGAGCTGAGATCTCAGTGATGACTGTTGATTAAAATGTAAAAGTTGGTATATACTAACGTAGAGTTGGTTCTAGGCATTGTTATCAAGAACTTGTATGGTTTATTTAATACTGTATGTGTATAGTCTGCAAATGTCACTGCATGATTTTTAAAGGGTCCACTGCAAAGAAACAGATCTTGGAAAGTAAGCGGTATTGAATTTTCTGTTATTTTAGAATATTCATTACACAGTCATTCAAATTCCCATAGCCTGCAATTGCTATACTGTTACTACTTGATAATCCTAGTACATGAACAGGAGAAATGAATGTACTTTACTTCTCTTTAACTTTAGAGTGAAGATGTTACAGCAACAAAATGGCCAAACCAGCATTGCCAAGAAGAGACATACCGTATATAATCGTTCATTAGCCCGTTCGTTTATAAGCCGACACTCCAAAATGGATAGGTTAAAAATAGCAAAAACTGTATGACCCTTTCATAAGCCGACCCTATATTTCAGGGGTTGGAAAACTTTGGCTACCGGCCCGTCAGGGTAAGCCGCTGGCGGGTTGGGACGTTTTGTTTAGTTGGAGCGTCTGCAGGCATGGAGCCCCTCAGCTCCCTGTGGTCGCTGTTCACCATTCCCAGCCAATGGGAAAGAGCGCACCACTTCCCGCAGCTCCCATTGGCTGGGAACGGCAAACCACGGGCACAGGGAGCTGAGGGGCTCCATGCCTGCAGACGCTCCAGGAAAACAAAACGACAATGAAATAGATATTCAATTCCATAGAGTTTAAAATCATCAAATTTTGATGTAGACCCGTTTATAAGCCGACCCCCGCTCTTTGATGCATCACTTTTTTACCAAAAATATTCAGCTTATGAACGAATATATACGGTAATCTTTTTTTAAAAATAACAAAACACAAAAATACATATCGTCTGGCTACAATGATTATCAGCCTCATGTTCTGTTCTCCAAGTAGACTTCCTAGGTGTGGGGGAAAGTGGGGAAAATTAGATAATTATGGCAACATACTAACATATTTAACAGTGCTGGTTCCTTAAGATGTGGATCCTAGAGCTCCTCCTCTAGTTCTTCAAGCCTTCATGATGGCTTATGCATCTCCAAGTCTAGCAACCAGTTGGTTTTAGGCTTTGTCTTTTGTCTTTCAGAATTCCTTAATCCATATCCTAAGGTTCTGGTACCTTCCTCTGTTACTAGTCCTATAAATGGATCTAACAGTTGCTTTAACCCAAGTTAGAGGTTTTGGATATGTGTTCTGAAGCAGCAGATGTGTTTCACTGCAGAAAAGAAAAAAATGTAACAATTAAGAGATTGAATAGGAGTTTCTCTATAAAAAGATCAAAAAACAAAATAAGAGCTTCTTCAGACACTCGAAGAACTAACGTTCTTAAGAAGAGTTTTAGTTAAAACTAAATGTAAACTAAAATTCTAACTTGGAACTTAAACTTGGCAAATTTTTCCCAAACACATCTAGACATGATTGAAACAAAGTTATTTGTAGGAAGAGTAAACCATTTTAGACTGGATGGAGACAGACAGCAGGTATTCCTCAATTTGATAGTTTCTTCAAGAAGCCAGATTATCTTTGCCATTGTTTTGTTTCCTGTGGTTTTTCTCCTTTACAGACTCCTTTGATTTAACTCCTGACATTCAGGCAGGTTAACATCAAACAGATAACCTGAGAGGCATATAATATTTATAACAACTACTACACATATTTCCCTCAGTCTCCTCAACTACATACAACAAAACTAAGTCAAAAAATATTATTTAGGTTGCAAAGTCAAGCATTTGAAAATTAGGAGATACTGGATATAAGGTAGCTTGTGAAGCCTTAATTCTGTCCCCTTCCTCCCCCGATGCATCCATCATGTACATTGAATGAGGCAGGGTTCATGTAGAAAAAATAGTATGCAGTCATGTAAAGACTGATCATAATGCAGGCTCAAGGCTTTTAGGTAAAATGTTTTTGAACAGGAATAAAAATTCTAATAGGCAAATTTTAGCCTCAGACAGGTACTTGCCACTTCCAATGATTTCAATTTCACAGAAATACCGAAATCAGAAAAGGGGGGAAAAAAACTTCTTAGGTTATGTGCCAGTGCAGGATTTTTCCCTACAGGAGTGCTTTGTCCAGTCCACTTACAAATTATTCAGCAGTGGTCTTCCATCACGTTGTTAGGAAAACACATATGGAAACAGATTTCCATTAGGTTTCCAATTTTCCTCTAAGCAATACAGGATTCTGCCTATCTACAGGGCCGGATTTCCAATTAGGCACAGGAGGCACATGTCAAGTATGCGATTTTCTAGCCCAACTGGGGTATTTTTAGCTGTCAGTTGCCAGATTTTTTTTTAGCAGTTGTGGTATTTTGGGCTATTTTGCTGCCCCGCTGCTGCTAGCTGCACTGCTCAGAAGTTCTCAGGAGGGAGGGAGCCTCCTTAGCTGTCCCGCACTCTGCCAAGAAGCTCCACACACCACTTGTCTCACGTCGTGTCCCTCCCCTTAGGTGATGTTTGATGTGTGCGCAGAATTCTTGTCCAAGGGAGGCAGAATTCTTTATTCTGCAGAAAATGTGCTGCAGTTTCAGCTTTTGCCCACCTGAGGCTGCTGTGGTGCCAGAACAGCCTGAGCTAGCTGAGGCTGACTAGTCTGGCGGGCGGCGGCAGCAA